TACTTTTGTAAAAGCTACATGAGCTTAAGTGAGAACATGGATGAAAACAGTGGCTTTTCTAGCATAAAATATTTCTGTGTTGACAGACTGCATTTTTCACTGGAAAAGGTATTTCCACAAAACTCCTGTGCAGCTCTTGTCAACTTTTCCTGCTTTATTTGTGATCACCAACATGACAGAATTAATGTAAGACAAAGGAGATTTTTTTCTGCATTGTGTTACTGTATTCTTATCTTAAACTGGACTGACTTGCCCAGCTCTTTCTGAAACCCCACCACTCTCTTTGGGAGAATGTACCATGGGGGCCAGCAGCTGCACTAAATTTTTATGCTATTCTTCCCATTCCTTTCAGTTTTTGAATGTTTTCTGTTATCCCCATGGGACAGACTATTATGTAGACTGGGAAGTGTCAGACCACAGAATATTTGGGACTTTTCTGCTTTCACACTTTCCTCTCCTTTCCCTTCCTAATCATGGTATAATTCTTAAAGTAATTATTAATTTATTTTTAATTTAAGATACTCTTAATTTGATTATTCTCATTATTCTTGCAAAACATTACTTTCTTTCCCCTTTAAAGTATTTTTAGAAAGGATTTTCAATGCAAGAGACTTTGCAAATGCAAATTTTAACCAAAAATTAATGCAAATCAAGATTTATTATTCAAAAATAGATTAGGAGTTTATTCATTTTTTAGAAACGAGTATCCTATCACTTCACAAGTATCCTATCACTTCACAAGTTCTTGGATCTTGGACTGCGTTCTGAGGCACTTACAATTCAATCTTGACTAAAGATATAAGAACCATAAATCAGTGTAAGAGGCAAGGGGAAACCATATTTCTTTTCCCTCAAGCAACAGCCACCTGACTATGTAGCGCCAGTGGTGCCATCAATTTGCTGAACACATGAATAGATTGCCTTTATTAACAAATATGATTCAGAACTGCAGATTAACTCGGTTTTCTGGAGCACACAATAGCTGGTATTTTTCATTGTGATATCTTATCACTCACAGAGCCTTAACAGGTATTTCTTCCCAGTTTCCTAAAGAAAAATACTTTGTTTAATGTAAGCTCTAAGTGCAACCACACCAAATGATGGGATGATATGTAAGGGATTTGTAAAACTAAAAAAAAAAAAAAAAAAGGCAGAATTTTTAAAAGGTAAACTCATTTAAGAAGCTCTAAGGAAAAAGTGCCCCTGTAAGGGTGTTGGGGTTTTTGTCAGGTCCATCACAGCTATGCCTTAGTCGAACACTACATTGTATTGTAACAGCTATCATCCCATTTTCTGTGGATATTTCAGAAGATTTACTGAAAAGGCACTGGAAAGGGTGCATATAGCAATGATAGGGGAGATTACTGTTTCACAAAAAATATAAGGTTGGAGATGGTTCAAAAGCCAAACCACTTTGGATCTGTATTTTCCAATTTGGAATTCTCAAGGTAGATATTCCAGATTGTGTGGGAGCATACAAACAAAAGTGGCCTGGTTTCCAGTGGCACCAAACATCCCAATTAACACAGGAGTGCATGTATTCATGTCTGTGAAAACTGGAATTCACACTTTGCCCTGAGGCTAGACACTTACTTTGGAGCAGCCAAAATCTGAGAGGTTTTTACTTAGTTCAAGGTCATTCACAAAATTAATACAAAACACTGAATGACCAAAGAGGTTTTCTAGGTTAGTATCTGTTTATCTGATTTCTTAAAATAATTGCAGGTACAGGAAGCAACTGGGAAGCTGGGAAGACTTGTATATGGTGTACTGGCTTTATGTGGCCAGGTTTTGGTAGCAGAAGGTCCTGTAGACATGTGGAGAGAGGAGCCCATGCTGGAGCTAGTTTCCTGGTAGGACCTGCGACCCCGTGGGGGACCCATGCTGAAGCAGGCTGTGCCTGAAGGACTGCATGCATGGAAGAGTGACCCATGTTGCAGCAGTTCACAGAGAGCTGTTGCCTGTGGGATGGACTCTCACTGGAGAAGTTCATGCAGAACTATCTCCTACGGGAGGAACTACATGCAGAAGCAGGAATAATGTGTAATGAACTGACCTTAACCCCCATTACCCATCTCCTTGCACCATTGAGGGGGAGAAGGTAAAGCTGGGGTGGAGGGGATAAGGAAAGTTGTTTTTAAGATCTATTTCATTTTTCATTATCCTGCTCTGGTTTTGTTAGCAAAAAATTTGCTTCATATCTTTTAAGTCGAGCCTGTTTTGCCTGTGATGGTATTTGATGAGGGCTCTGTCCCAGTCCTTATCTCAGCTCATGAAATCTTTGTTATACTTTCTCTGCCCTGTCTAGTTTTGGAGAGCAGTGATAGAGTAGCTTTGGTGGATGTCTGGCATCCAGCCAGGGTCAACCTACTAGAAACAGAAAGGTACTAAATAAAAATAAACCACCGTTCATGATTTTTAATAGAGTAATGCCTAGAAGCCAGACACTTCTTTTTTGTTGGACACATCTGTGCATAAAACAGGGAGAGATACTTCCTTCCCTGAGTGTTTTGAAGCCTAAAATCCTAACAGCTGTTTTGCATTAAGAGGAAAAACAGCAAGGTCTATAGACCTTCAAGCAGTATAAGGACCATAGATGTCTGCATTGCTTTATCTCCACTCATTACACAGTAGGTAAAGAATATCCAGTTAAATCCAGCTGCTACAAAGATACGTGGGTTTTTGTGAAAAGCAACTGACTTTGGAGTTCACTGCTGCAAGGTGCCTCTGCGAATCTCTGCTGCTGAGCAAAAAGAGGAGCAGGGAGATTGCTCACACACTGGATGTTCAGGCATTGCCTCTGCTTAAACATTACACCTTTCTCAGCAGCTCCAATTTGGTTTCTTGCAAAGGCAGGTCTGGGAGAATTCCCTTTGGGCAGCTGTTCTTACATGAACAATGCAGCAGTTTTTCTCTTTCTGCCTTCCAATGATATCCTCAAAGGATCTGATATTCCCAGATGCACTCCAGGCCATGAGAGATGAGTCCTCAGTTTCATGTTGTGAAAATGTCACTCTCAAAGATCTGACATTTTGCTGACATTATCTCAGATATTTTGAGTACAAAAAAAGAAAAAAAAAAAAGAAAAAAAAGAAAAAGAAAAAAAGAAAAAGAGAAAAAGAAACCACAGAAGGAATCATTTGTATGTCTTTGAACCACCACTTGGGCCAAGATGCAGTATGGTAGGCACACTTTGCTGCAGAGTGGCAGTGTGAGTACAACCCAGTTGGTACCAGCACTCCTGGAGCTCATTTCCTGGCCTTTCAGCACTGTGAGATGTGCCACATCTTTTACCCTCAGGCAGACAATGGGTATGCATCTGCTTTATTTACCGGTTTAGATGTAATCAATGAGACAAATTAATTACGAGGACCAAAAAATTATCTGGTATTTGCAAGAGACCATGAGGACCTACACAGCTAAATCAAATACAAAATAAACATGCAAATCCTCATGTTTCAGGGCAGCAGTTAGCAAAATTCCTGCAATTAGACAGAAACAACCACATACACAAGTACATAAAATAGGTAATTGCCCACAATGGTTTCCCATCTTCCTTAGTACAAATCTCCACATCCACTATCTGGATGGAGTCTGAAAACTTCTCTGGTCCTAATATTCAGTCATTTTTCTCTTCAGCTATCATACCTCCTAACACATGATGGTCAAATAATTCTTCTGCTGCTACTGGTGTCTTTGAAGTTTATGAATGTAGAGCATTAACCTATTTCCAGCGTGAGATACCATGTGATCAAATTAGAATATGTAAATTGCTCACAAGAGTTTCCTATGGTGCATGAATTTGCTGTTAACAAGCGCTTTCCAAATGAAATAAGTGTTCTTAACTCCCCTTAGTGAGAGTAGGAGGCATTAAGCATTTCAGGGTTATAACTGAGCCCCTCAATCCTTGCCTGTTTCCTGGCAAAATTTATCATCTGGCCTAAATACCAAAAACTCATCTTGCCAACCAGCACATTGATCCTCCTGCAACTGAAACACGATGGTAGAGAATTGTTGAATCAAAGGTAAGCATCTGAGAATATGATCTAATGTGACTTAGCTGTCTACAGTCTCTTAATCAGTCATGAAAGGAATAGAAAGCTCTACAGATCAATTAATTGAAATCTGATGGCTTTAACAGGATTTCCATCAATTCTACAGGACTTCCGCAGAGACTTATCTCAGACATTAGCAACTGCATGTGATATCAATGTTTACCAGTGTTTACCAATAAGTGAGGTGAATCCCACAGCAGCTTTCATGTTTCATGTAACTTCATCAGTAGGACTAGACTGTGTTGCAGGTAAGTCCTGCAGTGTCCTCACCATAAAAGAAACTTTTCAGTTTGCTACAAAAGCACATCATATTTTTCCAACCTTACTATCTGACTTGGTACAAATATATTATTTCTGCAAACAAAACTCACTTTGGCATTTTTTTGAGACTGCCACAAGATACCAGAACTACCCTCATTACATCAGCACTTCTTCATGGGGGAATAGTCAGCAGCACAAAGGCCAAGCAATGGCATAAATGAGCTGAGAGTGTTGGATTACAGCTGAGACATTTCAGCCGAGACATGGGCTTTCCTCTGCCTGTATCCCAGGTCTTGGAGATTGCCACAGCTGTGGGACTCAGTGCCCAGGGCTCAGTACCTGCGGCAGCCTTGGCCTGATGCTGAACCAGAGTGAGCTCTAGGTGCACACAGCCCCATACACACCTGGAGCCACTTCTTTCCTTCCCTCTTCTTCTCCAAGTTAATTCCCTTAGCAAAACCTGCTGATGGGCAGAGACAGAGGAGGGGGGACCACATCCTGCAGGAGTATTTCCTCACCACACACAGGAATGAGGTCAGAAAGCGAACACGAGTAGGAATTTGGTGAAGTTTCTCTTCAGGAAAGGAAGAGAAAAGGAATAGGAAGGAGAAAAGGAACAGGAAGGAGAAAAGATGGAGCTCCAGTTCCCTTATTCAAGTCCTCAGGAACAATGTACAAACACTTCTCCTCATCCTTTCCTCAGTTGGCTTGGGTGCTCCTGTAGGATAAATAAAGGAGATAAAGGAGTTAAACTACTGATGCTGAGGAAGGAGTCAGATCTCCTACTTCATAGGCACTTCCTGGTAGTCACCTACTGCTCTCAAGCACTGAGCCTATAACTGTGTATTAAAAGGAAGCAACCACAACTGCATTTGATGGGGAATCAAATATTTGCACATATGCTATATGGTTTGGGAGAATGCTGATTGAATTCGTGACTCTAGAGCTTGCAGGCAAAAGAATTCTTATTTTCTGGGCCATCATTGGGCTAAGGCATCAACTAACCATAAATTGTTCAGACTGGAGGAAATTTTGTCATAAAGGGAAACTTTCAAATGATGGCTCTAGTACCCTGGAGGTCAGTGACATCGAGAGAGGTGGGTTTAGATTGAAACTTTGGGGAATTTCAGACATGTAATTTTTCCCCTAGGATCAAATCCCTTTGTGCAGTGTTCATATTACTTGAAACAGAAACTATCTTGCAGATGAAGCAAGATAATATTTAAAATTAACATGGGGAGCAATGTGCTAGAAGGACACAGAACCTAGGTAAAGGTAGAATGAGAGAAGAAACTGAGCAAAAAGTTTTAAGTAGAGAAAGGCAGAATTAGGATAGAGTGGAAGAAACTCCGAATTATAATTAAAAATAAACTCCAGCCACTTCCCATGTAGAAAGTTCACAGCTAGTAAGCTGATTGGCATCTTACAATTCTGCCAGGGTATTACAGAAACAACTCTTAAAGTTACCATCATGTGTTTTATGTGTTTCATAATCACGTTTGTAAACAGGAAAATGCAAGATTTCATCTATACTAAGCTTTAGTAATTTACCACTAAAATCTTGGAGGGAAAGGAAAGCAAGCTGACGCTTTGCACAACAAGATTCTATATCCAGTCAGGATTAAATGTCAGATAAAGCCTCTGCTTTATTAATTTTCACTTTACTCTGAAACAAAATATATGAACCATGCAATTATTTCAAAATCCTACTAGCATTAAACTCTCCCCTTCTCTTACTTCTTCCTCCTCATACTTTCACTCCCAGCAGTAGAGAATAGTCTCTCCTGCTAACCTGCAATAAACTCTGCTTATAGCTGCTCTCAAAGGAGGTCCACCAAAACTTAAAAATAAATGAGACAAGACTAAGATTAATAAAATAGGCAAGGATAATTGTTCATTTTTTATGACCCAAATTCAATCCATTAAGGGAAGAGTATAAGACTCCCTTCTAGTTAAATTGACTGAAACATTCTGCAACAACGGAGAATAATAAAGCACAATTAAAAGTGAAAGTGACCTGGAGCTTTAAATACCCAAGAACCGTGATAATGGAACAAGAAGGCCATTTAAAGGTCAGCAGCTTATAAACAGTATCCTCAGAGCAATTTCTCAAGAAGAAAATAATTTCAGATGGGCCTACTGAGTAATTTATAAAAAAGAAGGCTTCTCCCATCCTGAAGGAAGCCATGCAAAATTAAATGCCTACTACGAGTCTCTGGCAGCCACTGTTTCGTGTCTTATGTTCAAGAGGAGCTGTCCCAGCTGGTGTTCAGTGGGATCATCTGGCAGGGTAAATCTCACAATACCATGCTTACAGAGCCTTGCATTTCCCAAAACATTTGTTCCTTTGGAGATGACATCTGGGCTGCAGTCCATGAGCTCTGCCTGCACAGCTGGCAGGGGTTACCTGAGCTGCAGCTGAACTGCTGCAGAGCAAGAGGCAAAAGAAAACGCTGGCACTCACAGTTCTCTGTGGGCAGTGTGGGAAGCTGTGGCCACCAACCCCTTTGGTTCTCTGGCATATCTTCTGTGGCTTCTCCTGCACACACTCCTCCCAGCACGTCCTGGGGACTGGCACCTGTTGCCAACCTGCAAAGGGAGTGAGTGTCCTGGCACCGCTATGAAAGTCTGCTTTCCTTCCTTGCCAAGATCAGTTGTCCTGCATGCACTGGTCTATGATTCTGGAAATTTGCCCCTGTGAGGGAAAATACAGAAATCATTCCAGAAATCTAATATAATTCCTCGTGTTTATAGAGATCCTGCAAGCTCAACAGGAAAAAACAAAATCCTTCCCTACTTGGAGCCTTTTTTCTCCCTTCATTTTTCAGACTTTAAGGTAGAACCCCATTCTAGCAGGATCTGTACAGCACAGCTGGAAATAGAGATTACACCCAAAAAATATTAATTGACTGTGTAGGAAAATAAGGCTATTCATATAAGCATTCATTACAAATCTGTCAAAAATATAAAGCTAGAGAATTATTTTTCATCCAGGCAGGCATATTGAATACAGCAGTCCAACAACAGCTATGTTGCATCAGCATCTACAGCAAAAAGTAGTAGGAAGGACTTGCAGGATTCAGCAAGTTATTCTGTATCACTTAAATCCATAACCATGAGAAAACATAGTGATCTTACACATTTATTTAGTCTGTGTTTCATCTCAGTCATCAGGAACACACCTCATAACCCAGTGTCCAGAGGAAAAGTCAGCAAAATACTAGACACAAGGTACTACCACATGTAAGGTATATTTTGTGTTTCATGCAGCTTCATCAAAACTGACATAAACTGGTCATTTCTAAAACCATCTAATGACAGATAAGAATTATACATAGGCTTTTGGTGAATTCTTTGCAGATGTGTGTTAATTCAAGAGTTAGCATAATAATAATGCTGCCCTACACAGCACAGGTTTCACTGACTACTTATGGGAATTTAATATTTCATTAGTTCTTTTTCTGAATGCCTTTCTTCTGCTATGTTCATTCTGTACTTTTTTTTTCCATCTGTCCTCTTCCCTCCTTTTGCACATCACAACTTCACTGAATATTTTACTCCCTGTTCCTTTCATGCTCTCTTTTATCCAAGCAACACATCAACTGAATGACTTGAAGCTTGTTCCCCCTGTGTTCAGCTTAGCCAAAAAATTAGCTGGAAGACATCAGCCACTTTGCTGTAACTGTGTATTGTCTATAAAGTAACATGAATCTCACATTGCATAGTGCTATTTCAAGAGAAGGAGTCTCTCTCTGCATTTTCTGCTGGTGCAGATCATTTACAGCAAGTTGGCCATGTGCCCACTATGCACAGACAGTGCATGCAGAGTCATAGGAACAGCTGATCAAACACAACCAAGATAAATTCAACCCAGTACATTTTCCATTGTCTATAAAAGAAATTTGGGTTTTATAGATTTTGTCTGCATCTCTCTTCTGAGATATAGGTGTAAAAATAAGGCAGGAAACTGGACAGATTTTCTTCCCTCAAGACTGTAAAATCACTCAATAAACCTCTTCCTATTATAAAAGCCTTAAAATGATGGTTGAAATCCTGGCTCACTGGAGTCAATAGTAAAACTCCCATTCACATCAGGAGCAAGTGACTTCTGGGTTGATGAAAGCCCTTTAACAGTACCGGGTATGCTACAAAATTACTCCATGTAACAACTTGCTATAAAACACATGTTTTTCTCCAGATAACGTCTTACACTTTTTTATTAATAATAAATGTTAAAAAATACTGATTTCTTCCACCAGTGAAACATGGTCAATATATTAATGTCTATTAACACTGAGCAGTGGTTTAAAAAAAAAAAAGCTTCTGAAGGCAGCATGGAAATGAAGCTGCAGGTTGAATGTTATATAGACCAAATGGAATGGTCAAGGCTGTTTTAAGTCTCTGCTGGAAGCTGGTATTTCTAGTACCAAAGTAAATGTTAAAAGCATTAATGGCCAAGATGGACTCACACTGACATCTGGCAAATTTGTACAAAACTAGGAGGAATTTGTGGTCTTCATTTGTATCTAACATTTTGATTTTGACTAACCAAAGCATACATGGTAAGCACCCAGACAGAAAAAAACAAATTCCATTATACTGCCTGCAAAATGCCAGCACAAAAGTATTTTAGAGAGAGAGATTCACATTGTCAGCTGTCAGTTCACAATGCGGATAAATCCTGGCATGTAATTGCAGCATTAGTCATGCTGGCTAACAAAGGCACCACAGAGCAGGTGGGGGACCAACAGTGGTGAGCAGAGAGGTCATCATCTGTCTGAGGCACCAGCTTTCCTCACCAGACTCCAGTGTGCTCAGCCAGCAGGATGAGGAGCCCAAGCTGGAGCGCTGTGCTTGCCCACACCCTCTCTGTGCCCCACCACTGGCTTGCCCAGGGCTGGCTGCCAGCCCTGCTCCCCTCACAGGCAGCTGTGCATGGGCTCAGGTCCTCCTGCCCCACTTGTCCAGCACAGAGGGGAGATCAGTGAGCCTTCACTTTGAAGCTGTAACTGTGTCACTGCTCCCTTGGGCATGGAACAAGATAGAAGAGGAACAAAGGAAAAAAGCTTTTCCAAAACAGCCACATATCTGAGATGGGCTGCTTCTGAATTTAGGCTTTGGGTTGACAAATGTGTGCCACTACAAAGGTGGGGTGAAACTCACTTCTCCACACTCAGAAAACTCTTCTGAAGAAACAGCCATACACACTTTTGTTTGGGTTTTTTTCAGTAAGGCAGTAATTAAGTGAGGGGAAATACAGTCCTTGTAATGATTCTGTCAGTTTGTAAAGAGTAGCAGGGAAAGAATATTTCTGAGAGTGGCATCTATTACACTGTCACTGTTTGCACCTATGATGCTCAGAATTGCAAATACAGAACTATGGGAATAACCCATGAAGCAATGTGCTAGATTTGACATCACCTGAAGTCATTAAGTGTGGAAATCTTTGAAAAACATATTGTAGCTCAATCAGAGGACAAGTCTGTGCCATGGGTCTGCATTGTACAGCTGAACGATATGATGACAACAGCTCTTGTAGGTATTAAAAGTCATGAGTATTTGAATCTGCTTTGCCAGAGAGGTTTGGATTTCTTTTCATTCCAAGATTTTGGGGCTTTTCAGCATTCATATTTGTCAGCTTGCAGAGTAACATCAAAAACAAAGGTACAAAGCCCAGCCTTTCAGGATATAAATAGATAAATAGTTCCCAGAGGGAAAGGTACCTAAAAGACCCAGGCTGATTCTGAGCCATTCCAGGAGGATGCCATTAGACAAAGCCTTCCCCAGATCCCACTGTTAAGGGCATTTGAGGTGGAAATTATTGGCCACAAGACAGGCACTCAAAGCACACGACCTAGGGGGGTAAGAAGTTCAGAAGTGTTTTATAAGGAGCTAAAGGCATCTGGGGAGAACAGCTGTTTTCAAATAAAGAATAAAGGCAGGAAGTCTGAAGAGGCTGTCTCTTTCAAATCTTGGAGAGAGCTGATATTGATGAAGAAAGTGTTTCTATGGGCGCAAGCGGAGCACCAGCATTGCATGAAACATAACAAACCTTCACATTGCTCAGGTCTCCCCTTGTCGCTGAGCACTCCTTCACAGAGGGAGCCATGCCAATTTATCCATCTCAAATTGCAAATTCCAGCTGGAAGCAATGATTTTTTTTTTTGATTTTTTTTTTTAATTTCTGCCTAGTCACCAAGATCATATTGTTATAAAGAAGGAGGGATTCTCCAGAGCTAGAAATAAACACTAGCTGATCCTGCACAGAGGTAGATATCACAGGTCTCTCTGCTGCCACATCATGCAGGAATAGGTTGACAGGCCTGCAGAATCTCAGTCTTGCCATGAAGTGTGCCAGGGATTCACACCGAATCTACATGAGTCCTGCAAAACCATAACACGACTCCCAAACAGGGTCTTTACTTTCCTCCAAGTAATATGAGGTAATTGACAAGATTAATAGTATTTTGTCCCCATTTGTTAAGATTTTTTGGCAGATTTTTGATTCTACCAGCATGTTACAATGAAGAACTGGTCTCTCAAATCATCCCCAAGCCACACTGGAAAAATCCTGGAGCTTCCCTGTCTGTGGACAGAGAGGAGGAGTTTGGGAAGTCCATTACTGAAAAATGTGATATGCACAAAGAGCAGCCTGAAATTTTGGACTTGATTACTCATGTCAGAGCCCTTTGGAGTCCCATAAAGAGCACATAAAACCTGACATTTCTGGGATGATGTAGAGGGAGAAGGAAAAGCAAGAGTGAGGAGACAAAAAAGGAGAGGCTGAGAAAGCCATTTTCCATGGTAATGTGATTAAGAAGAGCAGGAAGAGAAGGGCTGTACTCCAAAGGGTTTAGAGAAACAGAGGTTCAAATACCATGAATGAGGAGACATCATGGGCTGTCCTGTGTTTTGGAGCTAAGAAGCAAAGAAACAGGTAAGAAGAGGATTCAGACCAAAGAGGAGAGTAACATCTGTGAAAGAAAGAGCAGAGGAGGCTGGAGAAGTGGAAGTGGGGCCAAGAAAGAAGGGAATGGTATTTTTTTTCTCAGTAGTCAGTGAATCCGTCTTACGGTTTACAGACAGTGTTGCCTTCCCTTGGAAAAGCTGGTACATTCTCTGGAGGCTGACAGCTTTTCATCAGTGAGATGCTCTGTGTGCCAGAGCAGTTTGGTGCACAAAAAAGCAATGGACTTGTTTACACATTTTTCTAATCCATTGACAAAAAAACCAGTATGGTTGCAACAAAACTGCTCCCCTACACACCTTGCCTGGAAGAGGAGTCTCACAGTAACCCAGCAATGGTCGGTGGGGTGCTCTGGGGCACAGACCTGCAGGTTGGAAAGGGAACCACACCTCCTCTGCCCATGGATTTGTGAGAGATCCAGGAGAGTGCCAGCCGGGAGTGCTGATTTCTGTGCGTGCAGGTACAACATCTGCCCTGAACATACCTGGCATGTAAATGCATAGGACTGAAGCTGCTTGTGGTCTCTCTGGAGGCAGTTCTGCCTTTGTCCACCCCTCCACCATAACCTCACCATAGACCCTATAATTCCCCAGCATCTTGACAAAAACATCTTGTTTCCTCCTCTGAAGAATGCAGCTCTATAATTAATATTAAGAGCTACCCCACAACTCTGCGCTTTCTCTCATGTTCTCAGCCAAGCAAATCCTTCATTTTGTCGGGTAATTTCTTTTTAATGTGGTGGTTGCTATTATTTCTTGATAAAAGTGATAAAAGACCTGAAGCAAAATTCTTTTCAGATAATTCAAAAGGAAAAAAAAACTTTGTTGGTGAAAGGAGCATATTTAATGCATGCAGAAGGTGTTAATTAAAAATCCTTAAAGCTGACATTATAGCCCTAAAAATCATGAATATTTTGAGTCTTAAATGTCTCAGTTATCATCACAGAACATGTCTGCCGTGGCATCCATTTCTTTGGCCTAAGGCATTACTATAAAATTAAAAATAGGAATTTGGAGCTGGTAAGCTTTGATCTAATTGAGTATGTGGTAGGATCAAATCATAATATACCCATGATTTGCTGATCTCATTTCTCCCTTCTAGCCAGGGTTTGTCAACGGATACTAATGCACTTATAACCTACTGATGTTTACAAAGTAAGCTGATTTTTGTAACTTATTTTTGCGTGTGTAATCTTAACAACCCATAGCCCACCCCATAAAAAAAAACTACACCCCACCTGAAATTTTCATATGAACTAAAGGGCAAAGGAAGCTTTCCAGCTGTTATAATTCAGTAGGTATGACATTTACCTCTCTGTGTTTTTCTGCAGCTGGCTTAGTGCACATCACACTGTGCAAAGTTGAAAATCAATTAATTTTGGAAAAAATTTCTTTATATACACTCTCTTCCACTGATCCAATTTTTCATCTCTTCAGGGAATTCTTTTGGCATTAACAGAGGTAAAACTGATGAATATTAAATCTCTGCAGTCTTATAGAGAGTAGTGCTTACCCAAGTTTTAGTGAAATACAGATGTGTATATACATCTACCTAGATATATACGTGTAGATACACATGAACACATGATCGATGCACAGGGTTTTTGTTAATTTATAGACATATGTTCTAAATAAAAAAAAAATATTTTTTTATCCTTTAATATGTCAGAAAGAAAAACAATTACTTCTGCAAATGAGAAGTGGCATCAGTCATCAGAGAAAGGAGTGTATAGAATCTGAAACAGCAAAGCAATTGAACATGAAAAGTTTGGCATAGAAAAGAAGGGTGAGTAATTTAAACCCACTCAGGAACAGGTGTGACTTGTTCATAAACCAGTTAGGAAAAAAAATTGTTTAATTACTTCTCTCTGGTAAATAACAAATTACCATAGTAACTCCATTTTCAAACAACATATGCATATATTTTGTTACAGCAAAGCTTGAGTCAAAACTGCATTTTGCCATCAAACTGTGATTTCTTTCTTAACTTCAAGATCAAAATTCTATGAACTTTCAGCTCCTTACACTGTCTCATCCATGACCTGACAAGACCACCTTAAGGCTGACTGTATTGCTCAACCCATGCTCAAAATATATCCTGCCTATTTGTTGAGACTGTTACATTGAGCCAATTCAGCCAATAGCTGTTATGATAGGGAGAGTAGCTGTCATTTTGGGGGTGGATTCCAAATGATTTTTTAAAATCTGATGAGTTTTTTCAGCAATTACAAATGACCGGAGGCATATGCTTATATGCAAGTGTGTATTTACCTTTATAATTATATATCTAGGTGGTGGTGGTGGTGGTTAGAAATTTTTAAGTGTTTTCATTTTCAAGGTGGCAGGTTTTAAATTAATTTAACTGAGTGACCATGCAGAATACAAACCTTTGTGTAGAGCTACACAGCCCAGATGGAGCAGGAGGAGGTGAAAACCCCACTGCTCCCCAGCCTTTGCAGTGCAGCAACATACACTCACTCACCTCCAAATCCTGGTCCAGACTTTGCAGAAGAAACGTTCATCAGGAACAATTCATCTACAGCATGCAACAAGATTAGTCTTTCTTTAGAAGCAGCTTACAGGCAGCCAGGGTCAGTGCCTCCAGAGCTGGACTAGAAAACAAATATATAAGGGTTATGCAGCCTCAGTTAGGTAATATCATTTTAACATCCTGAACCTTTAAAATATGTATGATTTGGATCTTGCACCCTGAAGAGTTACTGGTTTTGTTCAGACTCATCCTGAGGAGCATTTCACCTGTTCAGATTAACCTGTCCAGGATAAAAGTAGTCTCCAATTGGTCTTCAAACTTGGAGAGATGATCAGAATCTGCTGTTGTTGACAGTTTTCCTTTTAGTAATCAGCAGCAAATCAGACTTTACTCAATGTTCCCATAGCCATCTGTTGCCTCTATGATAGTAATTTCAGTCTGGATCCTTCTATCCTATTTATGTTTACACGATTCAGATGGCCAAAAATATCAGAATGGGCAGCAGCATAACAAACACCAGCACTTTCAATTTGAAAATTATCTTAGATTCATTTCTGATTTTATAAAAATATGTCAGAAGGTTGGCCCAATAAAGATATGTATGTACTTGTAAACTCTGGTACCCTGTCCTCTTTTTTCTAAACAATAAAGGAAGAAGATGAAGTAGAAAATATAGGCACTTAGTCCTTAGCCAGTCTCATCTTGTAGTTCATTGGAAATCATTTTTGCATGAAGAGATGCTCTGAACCAAACCACTCAATCATCAATAGATGCAGTGAAACAAATCTCTTCTCATTCCATTGGAAGTATGCAAACAGTAATACATCTCTTGCCTGAAGAATAATTCTCTGTTCATAGCATGGTAATTCGTCTCACTGAATTATCTTGCTTTACTTATTAATTCTAGAAGATTTTAAAGGAAAGAGGGAAAAAAAAGGAAGGAAGAGGGGGGCAGAAGGAAGGAAAAAACAACAGCAAACCTCTCATCAACAACGCAAATACAACTAAAAGTTCACTTGCATCCAGTGACTCAAAAAAATAGAACTGCAAAACTTTTTTCAGATCACTCTGTGTGGGCTGCATCTATAGCAGAATTGTAGTCTGTAGCAGGTGTGCAGTTCTGAAAGCCTCCCAGATGTCCCCACCTGCAGTACCTCGGGTGACATGACGGAGATGAGTGGAGTCACTGTGTGCAAGCTGTGCCCCTGCCAGTGGAGCTAAACTGTCAGATGCCTTTCAGGGAAGCACCCAAGGCACACCAGCCACTCTTAGGTGCTCAGTCCAAGCAGGAAGGTTAGAGCTAGGCCAGGGAAGGCCTCTTGAAATGCAGATAAACACCCAGTCCACAGCCTTAGCTCCTTGTCCTTTCAGATCCATTCCTCTTGGGTTGCACCATTTACTTATACATATACATACACAGGTTCTGCCACAGATCTTTGCTCAAAAAGACTTTCTTGCATGGAGTAATTTTTCAGGTGAATTTTATTGATGTCTTTGATTTCATTACCTCCTCCCACCTTTTCATCCTTGTATTCAGGTAAGAAATGCAATTCTGCACAGGTATAAAGTTATCATATCCTTGCCATAAACTGAGTGACACGATAACTTGTCTTGTCAGATAGTTTTACAGTGCTATGCATCAGCTGAAAGGCTGAGTATGAAGCAAATAGTCCAAGGTTTTTTATATCTCCCCTAAAGGCACAAGGAGATGTAAGTACTGATATGAAATGACACTACATTTTGTTTGGGAAAATTTTGCAAAGTTGCTTTAGCCCAAGATGTAAGTAGCAACAACATTTTCTCTTCTAAAGTCTTCATTTTCTCCTTTTTCATGAGGAACAAATGTACTTTGAGCTCAGTTAGCTCACCCTTTAGATAATGAGAACAGAGCAAAGTGCTTGAATCATCACATGAGACTTCCTGAGAAAAAAATATAGGAGCTGGTCTTGAAACAGCCCCTCCCAACACCAGATGCCTGAAGCATGCAGAGATGGAGTAAAAATACAGTACTTGCAGCTGGAAATGGGACAAAGCTAAAGGTAAAGAACCCTTTCTCTCAGCATTTCTTTTTTAGCTTTGAATTTTCAACTTTGAAATTTGTGACCTTTGTTGAAATGACTGTCACACAGCCACAAAGCATCCCTTCTGCCCAGGGCAGTCATCCCTTGGGCCCCAACTTCCTGTATCTCCCATGGGCAGAGCAGTTCATGGAGCAGCTGTGCTGGGATGCCCATGCGGACCAGATGTTGCTCCGAGGTGAGGGAAAGAAGCAGCTTACAGGCAGCCAGGGTCAGTGCCTCCAGAGCTGGACTAGAAAACAAATATATAAGGGTTATGCAGCCTCAGTTAGGTAATATCATTTTAACATCCTGAACCTTTAAAATATGTATGATTTGGATCTTGCACCCTGAAGAGTTACTGGTTTTGTTCAGACTCATCCTGAGGAGCATTTCACCTGTTCAGATTAACCTGTCCAGGATAAAAGTAGTCTCCAATTGGTCTTCAAACTTGGAGAGATGATCAGAATCTGCTGTTGTTGACAGTTTTCCTTTTAGTAATCAGCAGCAAATCAGACTTTACTCAATGTTCCCATAGCCATCTGTTGCCTCTATGATAGTAATTTCAGTCTGGATCCTTCTATCCTATTTATGTTTACACGATTCAGATGGCCAAAAATATCAGAATGGGCAGCAGCATAACAAACACCAGCACTTTCAATTTGAAAATTATCTTAGATTCATTTCTGATTTTATAAAAATATGTCAGAAGGTTGGCCCAATAAAGATATGTATGTACTTGTAAACTCTGGTACCCTGTCCTCTTTTTTCTAAACAATAAAGGAAGAAGATGAAGTAGAAAATATAGGCACTTAGTCCTTAGCCAGTCTCATCTTGTAGTTCATTGGAAATCATTTTTGCATGAAGAGATGCTCTGAACCAAACCACTCAATCATCAATAGATGCAGTGAAACAAATCTCTTCTCATTCCATTGGAAGTATGCAAACAGTAATACATCTCTTGCCTGAAGAATAATTCTCTGTTCATAGCATGGTAATTCGTCTCACTGAATTATCTTGCTTTACTTATTAATTCTAGAAGATTTTAAAGGAAAGAGGGAAAAAAAAGGAAGGAAGAGGGGGGCAGAAGGAAGGAAAAAANAGCCAATAGCTGTTATGATAGGGAGAGTAGCTGTCATTTTGGGGGTGGATTCCAAATGATTTTTTAAAATCTGATGAGTTTTTTCAGCAATTACAAATGACCGGAGGCATATGCTTATATGCAAGTGTGTATTTACCTTTATAATTATATATCTATGTGGTGGTGGTGGTGGTTAGAAATTTTTAAGTGTTTTCATTTTCAAGGTGGCAGGTTTTAAATTAATTTAACTGAGTGACCATGCAGAATACAAACCTTTGTGTAGAGCTACACAGCCCAGATGGAGCAGGAGGAGGTGAAAACCCCACTGCTCCCCAGCCTTTGCAGTGCAGCAACATACACTCACTCACCTCCAAATCCTGGTCCAGACTTTGCAGAAGAAACGTTCATCAGGAACAATTCATCTGCAGCATGCAACAGCCGCCTGGTTTGAGATTAGTCTTTCTTTAGAAGCAGCTTACAGGCAGCCAGGGTCAGTGCCTCCAGAGCTGGACTAGAAAACAAATATATAAGGGTTATGCAGCCTCAGTTAGGTAATATCATTTTAACATCCTGAACCTTTAAAATATGTATGATTTGGATCTTGCACCCTGAAGAGTTACTGGTTTTGTTCAGACTCATCCTGAGGAGCATTTCACCTGTTCAGATTAACCTGTCCAGGATAAAAGTAGTCTCCAATTGGTCTTCAAACTTGGAGAGATGATCAGAATCTGCTGTTGTTGACAGTTTTCCTTTTAGTAATCAGCAGCAAATCAGACTTTACTCAATGTTCCCATAGCCATCTGTTGCCTCTATGATAGTAATTTCAGTCTAGATCCTTCTATCCTATTTATGTTTACACGATTCAGATGGCCAAAAATATCAGAATGGGCAGCAGCATAACAAACACCAGCACTTTCAATTTGAAAATTATCTTAGATTCATTTCTGATTTTATAAAAATATGTCAGAAGGTTGGCCCAATAAAGATATGTATGTACTTGTAAACTCTGGTACCCTGTCCTCTTTTTTCTAAACAATAAAGGAAGAAGATGAAGTAGAAAATATAGGCACTTAGTCCTTAGCCAGTCTCATCTTGTAGTTCATTGGAAATCATTTTTGCATGAAGAGATGCTCTGAACCAAACCACTCAATCATCAATAGATGCAGTGAAACAAATCTCTTCTCATTCCATTGGAAGTATGCAAACAGTAATACATCTCTTGCCTGAAGAATAATTCTCTGTTCATAGCATGGTAATTCGTCTCACTGAATTATCTTGCTTTACTTATTAATTCTAGAAGATTTTAAAGGAAAGAGGGAAAAAAAAGGAAGGAAGAGGGGGGCAGAAGGAAGGAAAAAAACAACAGCAAACCTCTCATCAACAGCGCAAATACAACTAAAAGTTCACTTGCATCCAGTGACTCAAAAAAATAGAACTGCAAAACTTTTTTCAGATCACTCTGTGTGGGCTGCATCTATAGCAGAATTGTAGTCTGTAGCAGGTGTGCAGTTCTGAAAGCCTCCCAGATGTCCCCACCTGCAGTACCTCGGGTGACATGACGGAGATGAGTGGAGTCACTGTGTGCAAGCTGTGCCCCTGCCAGTGGAGCTAAACTGTCAGATGCCTTTCAGGGAAGCACCCAAGGCACACCAGCCACTCTTAGGTGCTCAGTCCAAGCAGGAAGGTTAGAGCTAGGCCAGGGAAGGCCTCTTGAAATGCAGATAAACACCCAGTCCACAGCCTTAGCTCCTTGTCCTTTCAGATCCATTCCTCTTGGGTTGCACCATTTACTTATACATATACATACACAGGTTCTGCCACAGATCTTTGCTCAAAAAGACTTTCTTGCATGGAGTAATTTTTCAGGTGAATTTTATTGATGTCTTTG